CCAGGCAGTTAGGGACTCATGCAAATATTTACTAAGTCTTTCGAAAGCATACCTAATTAGTTCCATGTGCTGTGAAAAGGAAAGATGTAAAAGACACTGGCTCAGTATTCAACCCCATTTTCAAATCCATTTTTAGTTCCTGGGAATACAGCTAATCTGAATTTCATAACATCCTTGTATCTAGGGGTCTCGTTTCTAGTTGTGGCCAATGAAACATGATCAGAAAAAATGTATGACACTCCTAAGCTTGGCCACTCTAAATTGTACCCCACTTTCTCTTTCCTATCTTTGAGGAAAACATAAAGGAGTAAAGAAGTCAACCATGAAGATATGTGACTGAAGGGAGATTCAGGCAAAGAGGACAATCATGCATAGACCCAGAGGTCAGTGAGTGCATAGCTTGAAGAACAACAAGGAGATCAGAAAGGCTGAGAAGATTTTCTCTTCCTATCTTTTCTTGAACATCATCTTCTCAGCCAGGCTTATCTTCACACTCTATTTAGAATCACAGCACGTTCTCCTTGCTCATATACACTCTCAGGTTTGTCAAAGATCAGATGGCTGTAGATGTGTGGTATTATTTCTGAGGACTCTGTTCTGTTCCATTGGTCTATATCTCTGTTTTGGTACCAGTACCATGCTGTTTTGGTTACTGTAGCCTTGCTCATATACACTCATTACCTCTGACATATGACTCAAAAGACGTCCACATTCTGATCTTCAGAACCCATGAGTATGTCAAATTACGTGATACAAAGGTAATTAAGGTTGCAGATGAAATTAAGGTTTTTTTTTTTTGTTTAAATAGTCTGACTTTAAAATTGAGCTATTATTCTGGATCACTTGGTGGGCACAATATAATCACACGTATACACAATATAATCACAAATATAATCTTTAAAGTAGCTGTAAAAAATAAAAAGTAGAAGAGAGAGGCAGAAGAGAGTCAGGGAGATGTGACAATGGAAGAAAAACACAGTATTGCTGACTTTAAGATGGAGAAAATAGCCTCTAGAAGTTGGAAAAGGTGAGAAATTAATCTTCCCTAGAAGCACCAGAAAGGACCTCAGCCCTGCCAAAACCTTAATTTTAGCCTAGTGAGACCTGTGTGGAAAGTCTAACTTACAAAACTATAAGGAATAAATTTGTGTTGTTTTCAGCCACTATGTTTGTGGTAATTTGTTGCAGCAATAATAGAAAACTAATACAATATACTACCTATGACTTACATTGTTATTGTGTTTATTGTTGTCAGCTTTTTCAATTAAAATTTATTTTTAGTAAGTAGTCTATTTACATGTTCAAAATACAAAACTATCCACAAGGGTAGAAACACAGAAGTCTAATTTCCGCAGTGCCCCTGTCTCATTTCTCTTTTAGGTAACTATGTAAATTAGGTATTTGTTTATCCATATTGTGACGCTTACTGTTAGGTATCAACTTGACTGGATTGAAGGATGCCTAGATGGTTGGTGAAGCATTGTGATACAGTCTTTCTACCTTAGCATAGCTAGGTCCGAGTTCTTGTCTTTCAACCAGGGTAATTAGGTGCACGGACACTGGAGAGTGAGTGGAGTAGAATTTATTAAGCAAAAGGAAAGCTTTCACTTCTGCCAAAACTACCATTGTGGACTTACTGAATACCTTAGCCTCAGTCATGGTATCCCACACCATATTGCTTCTGACCAAGGAACTCACTTTACAGCCAAAGAAGTGCAGCAATAGGCTCATGCTCATAGAAGAAGGTGTTTTCGGAGGAGGTTGATGTATGAGTCAGTGGACTGAAAGAGGAAGACCCATCCTCAATGTGGGTGGTCAATATCCAAACAGTTGGAAGCCCAACTGGGACAAAGCAGGTGGAAGAAGGATATTCAGCTTGCCTTTGCTTCATCTCTTTCTTCTTCCCTGGGAAGCCTTCTTCTCCCCCTGCAGACTCTAGGGTCTTTCGCTTTTGGACTCTGGGACTTGCACCAGTGGCATCCTGAGTGCTGTAAGACCTTCAGTCTCAGACTGGGAGTTGCAATGATGGCTTTCCTCAGCTGAAGCATTTGGACTTGGACTGAGCTACATTACTGCCTTCTCTGGTTCTCCAGCTTGCAGACAGCCTGTCGTAGGACTTCATCTTTGTGATTGTATGAGCCAATTTTTCTCTAATAAATTCCCTTTCATATACATATTCTATTGATTCTGGTCCTCTAGAGAACCCTAATATATATACATATGTATATATGTTTATTTATACAGCAATTATACTATATATAGTATTATATATAGTGTTTTTTAAAAATAAGCAAATATACATACACTTGTTTATTTTGTCCACACTCATATACAAAATGTAGTGTACTTTATATATTATTCTGCATCTTGCTTTTTTTTTTTTTTAAAAAAAAATTTATTATATATCTTGATCTCTCCATGTGAGAACACAGGCTTTCCTTATTCATTTTCATAGCTTGTATCACATTTTGCCATGTAGAATTACCATGTTTTATTCAACCAGATCCCTGTATCTGGACACATAGATTTTTCTCATTCTTTTGCCATTATTAAATGCCACAATGGATATATTTATATATATGTATCTTTTTGTACTTGTGCAGGTATATCTGTAGGAAAGATTTCTAGAAATGGTATTGCTCAGTAATAAATATAACTGAGATCTTAAAAGATATTATCAGATTTTGCTCTCTAGGTTCCATTTTTTTTTTTTTTTTTTTGAGACAGAGTCTCGCTCTGTCGCCCAGGCTGGAGTGCAGTGGCCGGATCTCAGCTCACTGCAAGCTCCGCCTCCCGGGTTTTCACCATTCTCCTGCCTCAGCCTCCCGAGTAACTGGGACTACAGGCGCCCGCCACCTCGCCCAGCTAGTTTTTTTGTACTTTTTAGTAGAGACGGGGTTTCACCGTGTTCGCCAGGATGGTCTCGATCTCCTGACCTCGTGCTCCGCCCGTCTCGGCCTCCCAAAGTGCTGGGATTACAGGCTTGAGCCACCGTGCCCGGCCTAGGTTCCATTTTTAATTTCCACAAGTGAAGTATAAGAGGGCCTGTTTCCCACAGCCTCACCCACAAAAGATGTCTTTTTTTGAATTTATGCCCATATATTACTTGAGAAATAGTATCTCAGTGTAGGTTTATTTATTCTATTATTGTAAATTAAGTTTAGCAGCTTTTCATGTAGTTGGGACTGTATTATTATTTGTTTCTGTGAGTAGTCTGCTCACATCATTGTCATTTTTTACACTGGCCTGTTTTTCTTCTCCATTCATAGGACCTTTTTGTGTTTTATTGAGAAATTAACATTTTGTCTGTAATATAAACAAAAAAGTGCTTTTTTCCTAGTTTGTTATTTGCTCTTTATTTCACTAACATTTTTATCCATATAAAAGATACAGAATTTGGTACATGGTAATCAATGTTTCCTTCTTTGACTTCAGGCTTTAGGGTTATATTTACAAAGGACTTCCTTATTCTAGGGATATAAAGGAATTCATTTGTGTTTCTTCCTAGTACTTAAGTTTGGAAAATTTATAATTTTAATCATTTTGGTGTTTATCTTTCCCCAAAAGGCTCTCAATTTTTGTCCAAGAAAATTTATTAAAATGCCCCATATTACCTCTCATCTTATTATTGTATTAGGGTTCTCTAGAGGGACAGAACTAATAGGATAGGTGTATATGTGAAGGGGAGTTTATTAAGGAGTATTGACTCATACGATCAAAAGGTGAAGTCCCACAATAGGCCGTATGCAAGCTGAGGAGCAAGGAAGCCACTTCAAGTCTCCAAACCTCAAAACTAGGGTAGCTCACAGTCTGTGGCTGAAGGCCTAAGAGCCCTGACAAACCACTGGTGTAAGTCCAAGAGCTCAAAAACTGAAGAACTTGGAGTCTGATGTTCTAGGGCAGGAAGAATTCAGCATGGCAGAAAGATGAAGGCTGGAAAACTCAGCAAGATACCACTCAGTAAATAACCACCACAAGTATGTACTGACATTCTGTATACATCTGGGTTTATTTATGCACTTTTATGGGGTCCATCCTGTTATTTTTTGGTAGTTGTTATAATACGTGGGGATATTTTACTTTAATAGTCACATATTATTAATATCTTTATGTGATACCCTGACTTTCCTCTTCCTTAAGGCAGTTTTATTGGTTTCCTACCATGAGAAATGAAATTAACCTGTAGCATCTTCTTCCTTTTACTATCTCTTTCTCTACCATCCAGTGTTAGTCCACAATGTCATATTTCTTAACGTTTATTTTGTTTGCTTACATATACTTAAGTTTTTACTACTTGATTTGCCAGCTTTAAGTGGTGTCTTGTCTCTCAGCTTTTATCAATAAGGCAGTCAGTGAATTTATTCTTCTTTCTATTATTTTTCTCGTTCTCCTTGGAAACTAAGCAGTTTACTGGGGAGTAATGCATATGAAAATAGGGGGATGAAAGAGAAGTGGCAGGGAAAGTTTTCATATTATGATGCAGATCAGGTTACTCGTGAGAGGAAAGAGGAAGAAAGCAAGATTAGGAGGGAAAGCCTCAGTCCATGATGTACATGTGATAAAGCCTTGATGCAAAGGGAAGATCTAAAGCAAAGACTGCCTGTTGCAAAAGTTCTATTTTGGACAGAAATGGCCAGATTCCAGTACTCCTGCAGTGATCAGTCATGGGCTGGTCTATACAGAGCTACCAAAATGAGCCTAGATGGACAGAGTAAAGTGAGGGAGATGGGGTCTTTAATTGTCAGACCAAGAATCTTAGGGCAAACACATAATTTGGATTGGAAACACATATTAAGAAGTAAGATTAAGTTAATTTAAGTAAATTAATCACTTTGTTTGAAAAAGAAAATTAATGTTTAGAGATAGAGTGTCCTCCCCAAGTCACTTGGCTGATTAGTGGCAGAGTTAACAAAAATGTAAATCTTCATTTACGTCTCTTTTCACCAGTCTCAGAGTCTAAGAAAGGCAAGAAACTTCCAGATACACACAATGAATATAAATTGCCATTTGAAATCTTTATTAGTTAGCAAAAAAATCTAACATAATCATCAGAGTTTTAAGTAGCAGTGACAGAAGATAAAAATGCCTCCACATCCCAAATGAACATCTCCGTATACCAAGTAGCTAATTTTTATTCTTTTACAACTGAAGTCAGGGTTTTTATTTTCAGAGACAATTCTGCAAACTTGACATTAAACTAATAGTTTGGCGTGGTTTAAAATACATTCAAATGTATACTAAATGTTTTAGAAAATATTCCATTGTTGAATACATTTCACATGGAATTTATGTGAATTAATTGAATTGATAGTGAAATATTATGAACACCAAGTGAACATACAAAAACGTATTCTTATTGTTCACAGAGGCTAGAATCAAGTACATTGGATCGAAGTTAACTTAGACACAATGCAATACATGTCAACTTTGCAGTTTAAACAATTACATACACTAAGAAAAACAGTGCCAGTCTTGGTTCATGCTTGGCTGCCAGACTTTATTGTCATTCACTTCTAACCTTCACTTCAAATCAAATTTCCCCTTTCTTGGCTCACACTTTGTGAAATAAAATTTTATTTAAAATTAAAGATAATTATCTAAAAGGTTTTGTCATTAATCAACAATACAAGGACAGGTCTATCGATAGATTTAGATTAAAGTTTCCATCTACAGATATTTAGATGTTTTTGTTCATCTGGAGAGATCCAGTTTTACCCCCTTATGTTTATAGGATTAGATGGTTCAGGTGGGATTTTGATGGGGGTACAAGGTAGTGATTTTGTAGTTTCCAACATTTAGGGAAAAGTAAATGGTTGATGGCCCATATAATATTCTCTCTTTATCTAAAGACTTTCTCTGCCCTCAGCGGGCTATCTCTGTAGGTTCCAAAAAGTGATTTTTGAACCTCAGACCTGCACCTGGCTTGTGGGATAGAGGCATTTTGTCTTGTTAATAGGTCTTGTGGTGGTGAATAATTAGATTGAAAGATTAGTCATAGTGCTTTAAATCTGAATAATATAATTTCATGTTGGGATTGGTGCTAAAAGTAAAGATGGTAGTTCTGCACTCATAAATCACATCTTAAAATGACAGAACACTTTACAACATATACTATTGCTCCAACATATCTTCAATAACTCTGTTTAGTAGATTCTTTATATATAAAAGAAATCGAGAAATTTTATTTTGGGTGGGAGCTGAAGTTGGTTGTTTAGTAGTAGTAGTAGTTTGAGTAGTGACTGAAATAGTGGTTTGGTGTGTGGGTGCAGCTGGAGTTTCAGAAGTGTCAGGTGCAAGAGTAGCTGGGGAAGAATTAGGTGTGGTGATTGGGGCAGCTGTGGTCTCCACTGGAGCTGAGGAAGGTGGTGGAGCTGGTGTAGTTGCAGGTGTGGGTAGGGCAGCTGTGGTCTCCAGTGGAGCTGAGGAAGGTGGTGGAGCTGGTGTAGTTGCAGAAGGTGTGGGTGGGGCAGCTGTGGTCTCCAGTGGAGCTGAGGAAGGTGGTGGAGCTGGTGTAGTTGCAGAAGGTGTGGGTGGGGCAGCTGTGGTCTCCGGTGGAGCTGAGGAAGGTGGTGGAGCTGGTGTAGTTGCAGAAGGTGTGGTGATTGGGGCAGCTGTGGTCTCCGGTGGAGCTGAGGAAGGTGGTAGAGCTGCTGTAGTTGCAGAAGGTGTGGGTGGGGCAGCTGTGGTCTCCGGTGGAGCTGAGGAAGGTGGTAGAGCTGGTGTAGTTGCAGAAGGTGTGGGTGGGGCAGCTGTGGTCTCCGGTGGAGCTGAGGAAGGTGGTGGAGCTGGTGTAGTTGCAGAAGGTGTAGGTGGGGCAGTTGTGGTCTCCGGTGGAGCTGAGGAAGGTGGTGGAGCTGGTGTAGTTGCAGAAGGTGTAGGTGGGGCAGTTGTGGTCTCCGGTGGAGCTGAGGAAGGTGGTAGAGCTGCTGTAGTTGCAGAAGGTGTGGGTGGGGGAGCTGTGGTGTCTTGTGGAGCTGGGGAATTCGATGGTGTTAATGTAGCTACAGAAGAGCTTGTGTTAACATTTTCTCTTGAAGATGTGGTGGTGGCTTTCTGAGGAAGAGAAGTCACATTTGGAAGGGTAGTAATTTTGGTGGAAGCAGATGGAGAAGTCACAGATGGAATTTGAGTTGTAGTCACTAAGGTAGGGTTGACCACACTGCTAGTATCTGGATGTTTAGATGGCTGGGGAGGATTTGGGAATTTGTGGGGGTTATGAACTGAAGGTGGAGGCCTAGGCCTACAGCGTTTGTATGGACATTTATGGGGCTTTATAATGAACGGCTTCTGGTGAGTTGGTAGTCCAGGATGATGTGGTAATTCAAAGTGAGGTTTGGGTAAATGGTGATGATGCCTTCTGTGACGTAGTTCGTGAGCCCTTTCTCGACCTTCACTGAACTGCAGAAGAGAAGGAAAATGTAAGAAATGAAAAAAGTATCCATTTATTTATCAATCAGGTGATCACGGCTGACCATGAGATGAGCAGTATTTGTGGAGTGCTGGGATTAGAAACCAGAGTACATTATTGAGTCAAGTGATTATCTTCCTAATTTCACCTGATTTTCACTAAGTTTCAAGAAAGAATTGCTACTATTTTTGTCAAATGTCCACTCTCTAGATAGCTGGGATGAATATATTCCTGTGGGCTCTAGCCTGAATGCTTAGCTGGATATGAACTTTTGTGCTTCCAGTTTCGCTCTTCTTTCTCTGGTGGAAAATGGTCAAGTTACTGCCTGAGGTCCCAGCACAAAGGCTTCCTGCTTACTCAGCATGTTCACAAAACTTTAGTCAAAGACATTCAACTGAGATCCAAGAGCCCTTTCTGGATTACACCCCTTATATCTACCATCATCAAAACACGAAACAGTCAAACAACAACAAAGCCCCAACAAACAAAATATCCCACCCCAGCTTCATGTTCTCCATATTTCAGGAAACAGTTTTTAGCCTTTATAAATTGGAGAAACAACTTTGGTCATTACCTTTTAACTTTATTGTTTAAAATATTAGAATTACAGAATTCATGATTCAGGGGGTTCATGAATCATCTGATTTTTAGAGAAAATTTGCATGTTTATGCATTTTGTCTGGATACAGCACCAATGATTTTCATGATTTCTGAAAGGTGTTTACATCTGAAAAGAACACTGATCTAGTCCAACTGTACATCTGATACTTGATCTTTTATCAGTATACCTGCTGAAAGGCTTTCCAGTCTATGCATCTAAACTTTTCTGATTAAGAACTCACTACAGTAATTCCTAAGGCAGCCTGATAGAGAGTTCTTGATAGTGAATGTAGGTTTGTTTTTTGGGATTTTTATTGTTAACTGAGTAGAATTTTCTTCATGAAGATTTCCATTCTTTGGTCCTAATTTTATGTTTTGGCAGGTTTACCGAAAATCCAGGAGTCCTTCAAAATTTGGAAAATAACTTCCGTGCCATGTGGGTCATCATCTTGCAAGATGAATATCTTTATTTCCTTTAGGCATTGCTGACATTATTTGAGTTAGAGTACCATCACTGTTTCAGTTTATTATCTGTAAACATACTTCATGCCTTTTATATCCCTCTTCCCTGTATTCAATCTCATACTACATTTTTTAGTGATCGGTTATATTGAATTGGAGAAAAGAAATATTAATAGGTTGAATGAGACCATCCCAAACCAGGATAGGTTATATTTTCTTCCTAATGATTTTCACAGAAGCCCGTTTTAGATCACCAAATGGGTACATCATTCCAGTCCCAAGTTATAAAGCTTTCTTTGGACACAAAGTTTAGTGCAGATGACGTGATAACTTCTGAGAGACTAGCCGAGTTGTGTAAGATAAGATAACTTCCTCAGACTAATATATCCAGCCTCAAAAGTAGCTTCTAGGTATTGGGTTTTCAGAGATGAATGAAACAGGGACCCTTGTGACCTCGTGAGGCTCATGTGATTAAGGGAAGGAACCACATAACTATTTTAAAGCAAAAAGGTCATAGAATTAGATTTTGGATCTGGAATTTAATCTAAATCATTTCATAAATGAATAAACTGAGATCCAGGCATATTAAGTAACTTGCCCAAAGTCACTCGGTTATTCAATAGCAGATACAGGACAGATTCAAACCTCCACTGCTGGTCTGTTGCAGTGTGTTTCAAACATGTTCCTCTAAGATCTGGACATTCTCCGCAACATCCATCAATACAAGAAAGGATTATTTGTTTAGAAAATTAAATTATCCAGGAAATTTTAATTCATAACTGGGAATAGCCATTAGTTACCATAATGGCTTCTGATACTCATAACTTTGATATTTTTCCATAGGTCTCTCTTAAAAGGGCTTAGGTTTTCAGAATCGGTAACACTGACTCCAGGAATCTCTGAGGAGATCCTTTCCATTACAGGGGTACTTGTTTTCTCATATAAAATAAACAGGTCGTATTGTTCAAACAGATCTTTCCCTGGAGATTGAATATGCAATCCACATAATTAGGGACCTGCTCTGATTGAAGCAGGATTGAGGGCCTCACATTCCACGATCTCAGTCTTTCCCTTTCCAGATGGTCTCTGAAGATGTTGCAAAGAATGTCCAGATCGTATAGGAACATGTATGAAACACGCTGCAACAGACCAGCAGTGGAGGTTTGGCTCTGTCCTGTGTCTGCCACTGAATAGCTGAGTGACTTTGGGCAGGTCACTCAGGTCACTGTCTGTTCACATTCGCTATTTATTTTTATTAAAAATGTCTTTATATAACACTTACTTTATGTTAGGCCCTATTCTGAGTGGTTTACAAATACAAATTTATTTAATTTCTTAGCAATATTAATAAGGTGGGTATGGTGATTATCTTCATTATATGGATGGGAAAACTGAGTGCTTATTCATTTATAAAATGATTTAGATTAAATTAAATTCCAGATCCAAAGTCTAATTCTATTTGCTTTGAAATAGTTATGTGGTTCATTCCCTTAATCACCTGAGCCTCACGAAGGCCCCTCTTTCATTCACCTCTGTAAGTCCAGTACCTAAAACTATGCCTGGTCTATGGCAGGTACTCATTAGCTATTAATTGAATGAGTAAATGCATAAAAATGAAAACAATAGCTAATTTCTTATTGAATAAAATATTAACATTTAAAAGTGTTTATTCATATGTAAAATAGTTTCAGCTATTTTACTTTAGGTGACCAAAATAGTACCTACCACATTTTTATATGAAGGCAAATAATTAAAATCCTATTAATTTTAATGTTAGCATGGCCTGGAACATGTATCAAATGACCAGTTTGTTTGATTTACTTAATATGTTGATTAGTTATTATGATTGGCAGTTGCAGGTGGTTATAACAGAACTCGTCAACTAGAGTTGGATTTAGAGAAGTCTGAGAGAGGAAGGAGTTGAAAATGTATGCCTCTAAAGTTTTGTGTTTAGATGATTGAAGTATGGAGGTCCTTATAATAAATATAGATATTCCAGGGAGAGTGTATTAAAGAGAGCAACCCTGCCTGCCTGTTCACATTCGCCATTTATTTTTATTAAAAAAGTCTTTCTATAACACTTACTTTATGTGAGGCCCTATTCTGAATGGTTTACAAAATTTATTTAATTTCTTAGCAATATCATAAGGTGGGTATGGTTATTATCTTCATTATATGGATGGGAAAACTGAGTCTTAGACTAAGTAACTTTTAGGAGAATGTTTCTCCATTTGCAAACTCCACTTTTGAGAGGAGAGAAGAGGAAGAAGGCATGAGGAACAAGGAGAGAGTAGGCTGGAATCAAAGGAAGGAGAAGGAGAGACACATGACACTTGAAGCAAGAAAGGAGGGTGTAAGAAAGCAGAAGACTCCTAAAATAACTAGAGGAATGCCAAATTTTCTGAGGAAGGAAGAGGAGGAGAAAATTAGTTAGAAAGGAAGAGAGCTAGACGACAGCAAGGTCAAGATTACATTTTTAATTTTTTTTTATTTTGAGATGGAGTCTTGCTCCATCACCCAGTTGGAGTGCAGTGGCGTGATCTCAGCTCACTGCAACCTCAGTCTCCTGAGTTCAAGGAATTCTCCTGCCTCAGCCTCCCTAGAAGTTGTAATTACAGGTGTGCACTCCACGCCTGGCTAATTTTTGTATTTTCAGTAGAGATGGGGGTTTCGCCATGTTGGCCAGGCTGGTCTTGAACTCCTGACCTCAGGTGATCTTCCTGCCTCGGCCTCTGAAACTGCTGGATTACACGTGTGAGCCACAGCACCTGGCCCAAGATTACATTTAATTGAAATTAGAAAGCACATTACATTTCTTCATTTGCTACCAGCTTATTTTTATGACCATTTGAAAACCTGTGATCCTTTTTTAAAGAGAATGAAAGCATTATGTTAAATAATGCTATAGTTGACAGAGCTCTTCATCTGACTCCAGAATACATCCCTTCAAATCTTCCTTTGGGATATCTGGAAGAGAGAAACCAGACTATCCACTCCCTGAAATCACTCCACAAAAGCAGGTTGTTGCTAGAGCTCCAGGGCTGAACTTTTCTGGCTCTGGGTTGATGCTACTCTCTGGTACATTCCTGTATTTTCTTTTCTTTTTTTTTTTTTGAAATAGAGTCTTGCTCTGTTGCGCAGGCTGAAGTGCAGTGGCACAATCTTGGCTCACTGCAACCTCCGCCTCCCAAGTTCAAGGGATTCTCCTGTCTCAGCCTCCTGAGTAGCTGGGATTACAGGTGTGTGCCACCACGCCCAGCTAATTTTTGTAGTTTTAGTAGAGACAAGGTTTCATCATGTTGGCCAGGCTGGTCTTGAGCTCCTGACCTCACATTCCTGTATTTTCTAAGGATCAGGTCAAGGTATTTCTGTGCTACCTTCTCATATTCAAGTTCTTTGGAAACTGTTTCTCTCACCAGGCACTTTTTTGAGATTTGGGTAGTTTGAAGAGTTTTCTTTATTCTAAGCACTTGGAAGAAAGGATTCTTTAGGTGTCTGGATTTGTGGGAGTTATGATGAAAGACCACCTCAAAAGAACAACCCAAATTCATCATTTCACAATAATATAATTATTTGTGTTGAATGGAAAGTTATTTCTTTCAATATAGAGTTGTTGGTAGCCAGGGATTCCTTATTAAAATTTTACTTATTAAAAAGTTAACATCACCGTGCATATTCAGAACTTAAAGCCTTATCAACTAGTATGTAAATTGAGATTACAATAATCTTGTTATAATTTTTACATCTACACTATATTTTATAATTTATAAATTTTCATTTACCCTTCAGCAGCCCTGTGAAGCATATAGTGTTATTTTATACATATGGAAATTGGGGTTCTATAAATAGATTCTAAATTGCTCAAGATTCATCTGGATGGTAAACATCAGAGATGAGTTTAAGTCCACATCTTCTGAGCCCAACTTAA